GCAACTCAAGAGGCAGAGATCAGGAGGATCGAGCCAGCCCAGGAAAATAGTTCGTGAGACCCTATCTCAAAAAACTCCATCATAAAAAAGGGCTTGTGGAGTGGCTCAAGGTAAAGGCCCTGAGTTCAAGCCCCAGTGATGCCAAAGGAAAAAAAAAATCTTGTAGAAATAAATGCAATCTAGGCCCAAAGTGAGGGGGATAAGGATATCATAAGAGCATAACTGAAAACCAAAGACAAAATAATACAGGGGCAGGATAAATGTAGGAAATACTGTTTCCTTATGTATGTATGTCTTTTCTTTTCTTTTTACAGTAGGGGGAATTGAACCCAGGGCCTTACACATACTAAGCGAGTGCTCCACCAGCTCTTGCATTAGTATTTAAAGTTTTACTTATTCACTTTTTTGAAGAATTGACACATGGATATGGGAGAAATAGTCTTCTTCTGTATCATGGCCACCCAGTTCCTCTCTCCACATACTATTCTCTATGGATTTGTGTATCCTTCCAGAAATAATCTATTGTGTTATTCTGTTTTGATGGTACTGAGATTTGAACTCAGGACCTTTCAATTTGCTAGGCAGGCACTCTACTGCTTAAGTCATGCCTTCAGCACTTTCAGCTTTACTTATTTTTGGAATGTGTTCTTGTGTTTATGCCCGGAGCCCACCTAGACTATGATCTCTGCCTCCAAGTAGCTGGGATTACAGGCAGGAGCCACCTCACCTGGCCTTTGCATTAAGTTTTGTTGGGTCTGGGGACCTAAAGGACAGATGAGTAAGTCAGTATCCCACCCCCCATGGAAAGCACTATGGGCCCTGCACCCTGAGGAGCTCATAAATCTGCATTCCTGCACCCTGAGGAGGACATACAGGGTCTCATAAATCTGCCACAGGGCTGATAAACAGAATGTTCTCAAGGTTGTTTCCCCTGTAATAAGGGGCAAACAGACCAGCTCATCTTAGAGAGCCCATGAATCCAGGGCTAATGGAAAGAACCCACCTAACCCCTATCCTAACCCAGAGTTAAAAGTGTCCAGAAAAAGCCCCAGCCTTCACCTGAGCAGAAAGCCACTGGATTCCAGGCTCTGCTACCCTGCTCCAGCTGCAGCCTTTCCTCTCTCCCTAATAAATCCTACTTTGTGTACCAGCCTTGACTCACAAGTCAGTCAGCTGCCTCACAAGCCAGTTCTCTGACCTGTGAAGGTAAGGACCCTTGACACCGGCCCACACATTTCATAGTGATATGTAACATTTCTAAGTTTAAGAAGCCCCTTAACTAACTAGATTGTTCATGTTAAAAGACAGTAATCCCTGCCAAATTGAGATGATGTCTCATTTGTGTGCAATTGGGTTTATCTGGCTCCCCCTAGGAAAAGAGTTTGCCAACTTTATTACTCTAAGGAAAAAGAGAGGGGGGAGGAAAGGAGAAAGAGAGAAGTGAGAGACTGAGTTGTACCTCAAGTGGTAGACCTAGCAAACTCAAGGTCCTGAGTTCAAACTCCAGTACTGCTAAAAAAAGAAAGAAAAGATCCTCCTAGTAGTCTATCTGCAGGAAATTGGTTTCAAGGGCCAGTGTGATATGAAATATATATTTGGCCTTTGTCCTGTGTCCTGGCATATAACTCAAGTCTTTCTGATGTCTTTCTGTATGCTAATGAACTGAATGATGCCTGGCAGCCCCTAGATAGCTTCAGGAAGTTGATCACTGGAAGGACAAAGGTTAGATTAGAGCATTGACCCTTTCAGCCCCACCCTTCAACTTCAAGGGAGGGCAAAAGGGCCGAAAATTAAATTGATTTTCAAGAACCAATGATTTTGGGGGGGTGGGGAGGAGGGGAAGGTGGCCCAAACGATGTATACACATGTGAGTAAATGTAAAAACAATTTTAAAAAAAGAACCAACGATTTAAGCAATCATATCTAGAATAATGAAGCGTCCATAAAAATCCAAAGGACCAGGTTCCTAGAGCTTTTGGATAGCTGAACACATGAAGCTTCCTGGAGGGCAGCCCACCTGGACAGGGCTCTGTTCCTATACCTCACCCCATGGATCTCTTCACCTGTGTCTTGTGTAGTAATAGCCTTATAGTAAACTAGTAAATATGTTTCCCCTGATTTCTGTGTTAAGCCACTCTAGCAAATTAATCAACCCTGAGGAGGGATGTGGGAATCTGATTTATAGTTAGATGATCAGAAGCTGCTTAAAACAACCAGGGGCTTGACTGAGGGAGGGGTAGCCCGGGACTCAGCTCTCAGCCTATAGGGATCTGATGCCCTCTCCAGGCCAATAGTGTCAAAAAAAAATTGAATTAAAGGATGTCCAATGACCCAAACATTGTATGCACATATGAATAGAATAAAATAAGAATAAAATAAAAATTAAAAAAAAAGAGCAACAACAATAACAAAAAAAATGATGTCCATTCAGCTGGTGTCCACTGCTCAACTGTTTGCTTGCTGGTGAGGAGAGAGCTCTACTTTTTTTTTTTTTTTTAATCTTGAGATGAGAGTTTCAATATATAGCCCAAGGTGGCCTTGAATTTTCTATGTTGCCCTAGGCTGGCCTCAAATTTTCGATCCTCCTGCCTCAGCCTCCTTAGTTCTGGGATTATGAGCATGGTACTACCATGCCTATAATCTAGCTTCTCTACACTTTTTTTTTGGTGTTGCTGGGGATGGAACCTAGAGCCTTACACAGGCTAGGCAAGTGTTTTACTTTTACTGAGCTACATTCCCAGCCTATTACACCTTTTGAGGTCACAAAATTCTTCTGAGGGTGATTATTTTAAGTGAAAGTATAGGAGAAATTGTTTTTTCCCCCCTTTGTATTATTAGAGCCAGAACTATTCCATTTGACTAAATTGTACCTTGACAATTTGATTTTTTTTTCTTTTTGGTGCTGGATATTGAATCCAGGGCTTCGTGCATGCAGCTGCACCCTCACCCTTATAATTCGAATTTTAAGATGAGTCTTCAATTCTCTAAACTTCTGTAGATTCAGATTCCTACAACTTATACATCCCCTTTAAGTGTCTGAGTTTTCTCAAAGTCTTTTTTTTTGGGGGGTTGGAGGTGGACTGGGGTTTAAACTCAGGACTTCCTGCTTGCAAAGCACACACTCTGTCACTTGAGCCAAACCTCCAGTCAAGTGTTTTGATTTTCTTCCCACTGATATTCCCATTTAACCAATGACTCATCCACAAAAGGAATGATATACAGCCATTAAAAGTGATGACTGGGGCTAGGGGTGTGGCTCAAGTGGTAGAGTGCCTGCCTAGAAAACTGAGGACCTAAGTTCAAACACCAGCAATGCAAAAAAGTTAAAATAAATAAATAATAATATAATAAATAAAAAATTAAAATAATTACATAAAAGAATTAAAACGAAAAAAGTGATGACAGGAACAAGGAAAAAAGTTAACAGATATACATTTAACAACATAGGAACATATTTTTTATGTAAGGCTACAAGAAGTTAAAAAAACAGGCTACAAGAAAGCATGATCCCATGTTCTATGTACAGTTGAATTATCCCACTTAACTGTACATATTCTCTATGTGTGTACACACAGACAGACATATATATTGACAGAATCAACTTGCTGTGTAGCCCAAACTGATCCTCCCGCCATAATTGCCTCAGTGCTGGGGTTACAGGCAAGCACCTGGCACATTTTTTTTCCTTTTTTTAGTGGTATTGGGGTTTGAACTCAGGGCCTCATACTTCCTAGACAGGCACTCTACCACTTGAGTCCCTCTGCCAGCCCTTTTTCATGTTGGGTATTTCCCAGAGGGGTTTTAAGAACTATTTACTTGGGTTCCTCCTGATCTCTGCCTCCTAAAATATGATTACAGGAATGAGCCACCAGTGCCTGGCTCTCTGGTTTTTAGTTTTTTTTTTTTTTTTTTGCCTGGGGCCAGCCTCAGACTGTGATCCTCCTAGCTACCTTTCCTGAGCAGACGGAATTATAGCACACACCACCTGCCCAGCTTGTTTGTTGGTTGAGATGGATCTTGATAACTTTTTGCCCAGACTGGCCTCAAATCTCAATTCTCCCTATCTGTGCCTCCTAAATAGCTGAGATTACAGGTGTGAGCCACCACCCCCAGCACTGGACACTGGAATGTGGTTTTGTTTTTTTCTTCCTTATTTATCTTTCTGTGACATATATATTCTTTTTTCCCCCTGCAGTAACGGGGTTTGAACTCAGTATCTACACCTTGAGCCACTCCACCAGCCCTTTTTCGTGATGGGTTTTTTGAGATAGGGTATCTGGGCTGTCTTTGAACCGAGATCCTCCTGATCTCCATCTCCTGAATAGATAAGATTACAGTCTTGAGCCACTGGCACCCAGCTCTTTCTTTTCTTTTAAACAGGGTCTTGCTATGTTTCCAGGCTGGCTCGAATCTACTGGGCTCACTGGATTCTCTTGCCTCATCCTCCTCACTATGTGTACCATCGCACCAAGCCAAGCTAGTTGAGTTACTTAAGGTGGTCCTTCCCAGTGACCCTTGAAATATTGACACCAGAGGGCAGCCTGTTGCCTCTCTTGGGTTGCAGGCTTCCTCAGTCTTTGCACCGGCCCAGCTTAGTCCAGACATTTGAGGTCTTTGGGTTCCAAATGTGACCAACAAGCTTGATGTGCCAAGACTGCCTCTCCTCATTCTTCTTTTCTCTATATTTTGTATGCCGGAGCCAAGACTCTGACCCCCTGGGCCCATCTTTATCACTGGCTGAACATGCTAGAAGGATCTTTTTTTTGGTAGGACTGGGGTTTGAACTCAGGGTTCCTCACTTGCAAAGCAGGTGCTCTACTGCTTGAGCCATACCTCCAGTTTTTTTTTTTTTTTTTTTTTTTTGGTGATACTGGTGTTTGAACTCAGGGCCTACACCTTGAGCCACTCTACCAGTCTTTTTTTTGAAGGGATTTTTTTGAGATAGGGTCTCTTAAACTATTTGCCAGGGCTGGCTTTGAACATTGATCTTCTTGGTCTCTGCCTCCTGAGTAGCTAGGATTACAGGTGTGAGCCACTGATGCCGGGCTTGGTATGGTTATATGGTTATTTTGGATTGGAGATGGAGTCTCTTGAACTGTCTGCTCAGGCTGATGTCAAACCTTGATCCTCCTGATCTCAGTTTCCCAAATAGCTAGGATTATAGGCATGAGCTACTGGCGCCCGCAGGAAGGATCTTGAAGTGGCTGAAGCATACCAATTCTTCTTCCCAGTATGACATAGTCAATTCTTTTATTTTTCATCCTCAGCAAAGCCCCTCCCTCAATACTGCTCTTTATGTAATCCAAGAATTAGCTCCTGCAACCCTCCTTCCTCAGAAAGGCCTTTGGGTCAGGGTCTGGGGAGATGACTCAGGATGCTTCAGCTGCTGGGGATGGAGAAACTCCAGTAGAAAGAGGTCCCAAGGGATGATGTCACCTCCCTGCCAACTCCCTCATCACCTTTTCTTCAAATCGAAAGCAGTGCCAGCCCTCTGCTTCAGTCAGATCTTGACCTCCTAGGGCTTTGTACAAATCCATGGCTCTCTTATTCCAGTCCAGAACAGCCAGGCGGAACTGGGAGCAACCCTTATCTAGGGCCACCTGAGGGAAAAGACATCACTCACTCACTGTCCTGGGATTGAAGAGGAAAAGTCTCTTTCACCCCTTTCACTCACTCCCTGGGTGTCCCCTTGCTTTTCAGAACCTAGCTTGGCGCACCCAGTGTGACTCACCTCTGCCACCTTTTTGATTATTCTGGTACCAATCCCCTGACCTGTTATGGGAAGAGAAGCAAAAAGAACTACTGTTGATTTGAAGATCAGGCTGATATCAGGGAATGTTGGTGTGGCTGTGGGTTGCTAAATCCACCCCAGCCCACCCCCCACCTCCCCCCAGGCCAGTACCCCGATATTCTGGTATCACATAGATGTCTTCCAGATAAATATTTCGTCCATTCCACGTGCTGTAGATGAAGTAGTACAGCCCATAGCCCACCACACTGGGCTCTGAGAATGAGAGAAAAGAGGGATTAGGTCCCTGGGAAGGGAGGGAGACATCTCAGGCTGCCTGGAGAGGTGCTCTTACCCTGTTGGTCCCCAGGTGACGGGAGAATCTCTGCTACCACACAGCGATAGAAAGGATTCTCTCCAAAGCCATCTGCTCTCAGGGCTGCAGATTGGAGGTGAGACAGTCAGAGAGAAAGAGGACCTGGGTGTACGCCCAGCCACTAGCTGTACCCTGGAAGCCATCCCTCACTTCCACCCTAACCTCCATCAGGCCCCAGGTGCTGAGCCCCCACCTTCTTCACTGATCTTCACCTGATCCGAGAGTTTCTCATATTCAGCCAGTTCCTACGGAGTGGGGACAGAGGCAAGATTAGGGCAGGAGAGCCTTGCAGCTCCGGGAGGGGGCCGGGTCCCAACGCGCGCCCCTGCCCCTGTCCCCACCTCCCGCGTCCCGGCTCAGGCAGCGCCGCTTGGACGCCCTCTGGAACCCTGGTTTGTGGCCCGTAGCAGTCACCCGAATCAGCCTCAGGATGTCTCCACAGTCCCCCTCCTTGGCCTCTCGGATCCGCACAGAAGCCATCCCGAATCACAATGTCAGGACCAAAGAAAACACCTCCCACTTCCGTTCTGCAGGGCGAGGAAAAGGGCCTGCAAGCTTGGATCCCAAAAAAACAGGAGAGAAGGGCAGCGGGGGATGAAACGAGCTCCGGCGCTGGCCAGGCTGAGCCCAGCCAGGTGGTCCTCACTGCCAGGGTAACCCCTCGATTCTGCCTCACAAGCGCACACTCGCCAGCCAATCAGTTTACAAAACAGACGCATCCCCGCCCCTGTCCTGCCTGCGACAGCTTGATCTCGTGACTGGGCTCAGGGCAGGAGTCAAAGCTTGCTTTCCCAGCCTCCATTGCTTACACACCAGGCTCAAAAGTCACCTTTGGGCTTCTTCTATTGAAATATGCCATCTGCCTTAGCTTTCACTCTCTTCCACCCATTCACGATAACCCAGGTCCTGAGTGAGTCCCAAGACCTAGCTGTTTCCTATAGCTTTTTTTAGTGGTGGTGCTGGAGATAGAACGCAGTCTTGCACATGGTAACCATGTGCTCTCCCTCCTACAGCGCTAACCTCCCCGCCCCCCGAAATCGAACCCAGAACGTCTACTAGGCACACACTATGACTGAACTACAGCTGTTTCCTACAGCTGTTCAGTGGCTCAAAGTGTTTCTTCTAAAATGGGTCAGGTAGCCGGGCGCCGGTGGCTGATGCCTGTAATCCTAGCTACTCAGGAGGATCTCCTACTCAGGAGATCAGGAGAATCATGGTTCAAAGCCAGCTCTGGGCAAGTAGTTCTCGAGACCCTATCTCGAAAAATGATTGGTGGAGTGGCTCAAGGTGTAGACCCTGAACTCAAACTCCCAGTACCGCAGATAAATAAATAAGTAAATAAATAAATAAATAAATAAATAAGGTCAGGGAGAGGGTGATGAATTTCTCCTTCTTTCCTTTCCTTTCTTGGTACTGGAGTTTGAACTCAGGGCCTAGGCAAATGCTCCACCACTTAAGCCATGCCTCCAGCTCATAAATTTCTACTGGTAGACTTTTAGGTCCTGTAATAGATAGATAAAGGAGATAATGGGTAGTGGGACAGGTCCTTCCTTTTTCTTTGTTTCTTTAAGACTGTGTGTGTATGTGTGTGGTGTGTGGGAAGACCAGTCTGACCTTGATCTCTTTTTTTTTTAATGTATTAATTGTACATATTAATGGGGTGCAATATGATATTTCAACACATGTACATCGTTCTTTTGTTCACATCTCCCCTTTCCCTACCTGTACTAATTACTCTTTTACTTTGAGTAAAATATTGAGGTCTATTTTTTTTTTCAGCAGCACTGAGGTTTGAACTCAGGACCTCATGCTTGCTAGGCAGGCACTCTTACTGCTTGAGCCACTCAGCCATTTATTTTATGGTACTGGAGATTGAACTCCAAGGGCTTTGCATTTGCTAGGCAACCACCACTTGAGCCCGGTCCCTAGCTAGCCCTTGACCTTGAACTGTTTTTTGGTTTTTTTTTTGGCTGTACTGGGGTTTGAACTCAGGGCCTACACCTTGAGCCATTTCACCAGCCCTTTTTGTGATGGGCTTTTTTTTTCAAAATAGGGTCTCTTGAACTATTTGCCCAAGCTGGCTTCAAACCTTGATCTTCCTGATCTCTGCCTCCTGAGTAGCTAGGATTATAGGCGTGAGCCATTGGTGCCCGTCTCTCCCATCTTTTTTGTTTTATTTTTCGCTTTGATTCTCCCGTCTTAACTTCTCCAGTTAATGGGATTACAGTCTTGTACTGTCTTACCTGGTAGCTTTTTGGTTTTGTTCTTTGAGCTATGTCTTGCTATGTTGTCCAGGCTGGCCTTGAACTGGTGATCCTCCTGCTTCAACCTCTGGAGTGCCTTCTTAGTATCCACTAAATCACACACAGAGACAATACCTTCTTGTGAGATGAATGTCAGGAGTCTGGGAAAACCGAGGGAGGAGTTCAGACCAGATACTGGGCACTGTGCCTGCATTATAACCCTCATTCGCTGCAATCCCATAAATAAAGGATTATTTTCCTCATTTGATGGACAAGGACACTGAAGCACAAAGGTGAGGTGACTGTCCAAGGTCACTCAGCCAGATAGTTCTATCTCATTTCTAGCCCTTGTGGAGGATGCTACTTGAGCAGGGCAGGACCGTTTCCAGACCTCAGGTCTGCCAAGGCAGACTCCCCATGTGGGCAGAATGCTTAGAGGAGCAGGGTCTTCTCTAAGAGAAGGTCTCCCTCTTCTAGGGGAAGAGGGGATGGGATGTTCTCTCCCAGCTCACAAATTTCTCAGCTGTGGGGGATGGTAATGGAAGCACTCTGTCCCTCACCCCATTTACCTTCAGAGGGGCCGCAGGGTCAGTGTCCCTGTCTTCTGCCCCCCTTCTTCCCCCCAAAGCAACCTTTAACCCTCCACCACCCATGCGCAAGGCTACCTACCCCCACGCATTCTCCTGAGTCGCCTGAGCTACGGCAGACTATGGAGAACAGAGGCCCCCTGGCCACCTCACCTCAGCTGCTACTGCTGCTGCTGCTGCTGCTGCTTCCAACTCATGCCCACCAGAGACAGACCCTGGGACATATTGTCCCCACCCAGGTGCAGAAGCAGGACAGGGTCCTCAGCCCGTGTGTATTTAAATGAGCCACTTTTGGCTCATTCCTCTTCCTGTCTCTCCTCCTCTAGCTCTGTAGCAGTGCCTCTCCCTCTGTCTTTGATGTGTTCTTCATTCAGCTTATTTTCTTTCTGACAGAGGGCCCAGGACCCTCCTGCAAGACACCTCAGCAATGGCCCAGGACAAGATCCTGTCACTATTATGACCTTTGACCTCACCAAGATCACCAAGTATGGAGTTCACCTAGCCTCTTATTCCATCTCCCTGACTTGCTCTTTCCCCATTAACTCTTCCTCTTTGCCTGTCTTCCTGTCTCCCTGAGCTCCATCTCCCAGAGTCCTCAAAGGACACAACCCATGCTTAGTCTTTCTTTCTGTGTCCTTCCAGACTTTCTTCTTCCTTTGAGTTTCGGACATGGGATCCAGAGGGAGTAATTTTTTATGGTGACACCAACACTGAAGATGACTGGTTCATGCTGGGACTTCGGAATGGCAGACCTGAGATCCAGATGCACAATCTCTGGGCTCAGCTGACAGTGAGTGTTGGACCTCAGCTGGATGATGGGAGATGGCACCAGGTAAGCACATTTTGGTCCTGTAGGAACAGGCATCTCAAGTTGGTCCAAGAAAGGAGAACAGAAACAAGTTATGGGGCCTCCTTTTGCCATTGTAATCTCATCTCATTGACACAAAATCCCCATGAAGTTGCTATTCTTGCTCTTGTTTTTTACAGATGGGAATTCTGAGGCTTAGTCAGTATATAAGTGACAAAGGCCCAAGTACACCAAGGATGCTAGCTGTGTCTTCAAGTGCATGTTCCTTCAATCATACTAGGCTGCCTAACAGGAAAGTGGCCAAGACAGGCTTCAGCGGCCTCTGATTCTGTTTCTCACCTCCTCCAGGTGGAGGTGAAGATCGATGGGGACTCTTTGCTGCTGTGGGTGGATGGGGAGGAGAGGCTGTGCCTGAGACAAGTCTCTGAGCCCCTGGCCAACAAAGTCCAGCCCATCATGAGGATTGCCCTGGGGGGGCTGCTCTTCCCTACCTCCCAGCTTCGGTTGCCGGTAACTACCTCACAGGAGTAGGAATTGAGGCCGATCTGTGGGAATGTAAGTCCAGATTTTAGGGAGATGGGGATGAGATGAGAGCTGCATGGGGAAAGCCAAATGCTTGTGTCTCAGAAGGGAATAAACTGTGGCTGGGGCTCAGATGTCCTGTTTCAGACATCCCATCATCCTCCCTTTCCTCTATCCCCTCCAGTTAGTCCCTGCTATGGATGGCTGTGTGCGTCGGGATACCTGGCTGGGATATCAGGCCCAGCCTTCAAATTCTGCCCCCACTAGCCTCAGAAGCTGTGATGTGGAATTGCAACCTGGGCAGTTCTTCCCTCCAGGGACTCATGCAGAATTCAGTCTCCAAGGTAGACTTCTTGGAGTCTTTTTTCACCTCTACAACCAGCTTGCCTTCCTCTGTCTCCCTCTGTTACTAGTACCTTCTCTCCATGAAGCCCCAGTCTTGGGGCCTCAAGAAAAGTTCCTTTCTCCTCCCAGACATTCCCCAGCTTCATGCAGAGTCCTGGGCCTTCTCTCTGGACCTGAGATTTAAGCTGGCAGCAGGCTCAGGCCACCTCCTTGGTCTTGGGGCACCAGAGAACTCTTCTTGGCTTAACCTTCATCTCCAAGATCAAGTAAAGGGAAATGGTGGGGTATTGCCCGTGTTCAGTAAAGCCTGGGAGCAACGGAGCCCAAGGGGTCTCCAAAATTTCATTATTAGGAAGGCTTATGGGGGTGTCAAGGATATATCTTAAAACTGTCCACAGCCAGTGGCTCATGCCTGTAATCCTAGCTACTCAGGAGGCAGAGATCAGGAGGATCAAGGTTTGAAGCCAGCCTGGGCAAACAGTTCTGAGAGACTCTACCTCAAAAAACCCTTCACAGAAATAGGGCTGGTGGAATGGCTCAAGGTGAAGGCCCTGAGTTCAAGCCCCAGTACCACAAAACAAACAAACAAACAAAAAAACTGTCCACAGCAATCAAACAGTATTTACTTAGATTTTACATGTTTATTTGGGGTGGGTGTGGTTTCATAAAAGGTCAAACCAAGAAGATTGGGTGGAGGTGTGGTTGAGAGATAGAATTAAGGCAAGTGGGAGTGGGACCCCAAGTAATCTCCTCCCTTACTCCTGTCCTGTTCCACCCACTGAAGAAGGTGGTGCTGTCTGCTGGTGCAGGGCCAGGGCTGGCTCTGCCCTTGGTCTTGGGACTCCCTCTTCAGTTGAAGCTGGGTATGTCCAGAGTGGTCTTGAGCCAGGGGCCGAAGACAGAGGTCCTTGCTCTGCCTGCTTTGAGACTTGACCCCCTCCTCAACCTCTGGACCCAGCCTCAGGGTCGTCTCTTCCTGGGGGCTTTACCAGGTAAGAGAATGCTGTTCAAGTTCCCAACATGGTAGGGAACTAGCTAAAGGAAAGGGACACATTTTGAGAGTAAGGACACCTTTAGGAGGGAAGAAGAAAAGGCCCCAAAAAGAGAAGGGATATAAGACTGGAAGTGTGGCTGAAGTGGTAAAGCCCTTGCCTAGCATTCAGGAGACCCTGGGTTTGATCCCTAGCACTGCAGAAAAAGCGGGGAGGGAGTGGGAAATTTTGGAAATTCAGGTCAGAGAACTGAAGTTTCTAGATCCAAGCCACCCTAATACTCTAATGCCACCTTTATACCCACCTCTAGGAGAGAACTCTTCTGCCTCCTTTTGCTTGGATGGTGTTTGGGCACAAGGAGAGAGACTGGACATAGACCGGGCCCTGAGCAGAAGCCAGGACGTCTGGACTCATACCTGCCCCCAGAGTTCAGGCAATGGTACTGATACCTTCCATTAAACCATTTTGGATGTGATTTACTCATTTATTCAACAAATATTTACTGCTTTCTGGCAATGGATCAGGCAGTATGCCAAGCATTGAGATGTACTGAAGAGCAAAAAACAACCCTGTGTTTTACCTTCTTGGTGCTCACAGGTCCATGGGAGAGGCAGGCTTGCATTAAAGGGAAACAAATAGGTGGTGAATTAGAAATTCTGTTAAGTATCACGAGAAAGCTGTCAGAAAATTGCAAAAGTATGAAGACTAGGAGGCTTTAACCTAGACTGGGAGGCAGGGAGGATCTCCCCGTAGGATGTGGTGAGGAACCACAGACACAGGTATACACACACACACACACACGCAGAGCTACGAGTCACCTTCAGGAAGCCAGCAGCCTACCCTTTTCTCCAGCATCTACTCCCTTTGAAACTCCAGGCTCCTGTCTTCCATGTTAGGATGGAATTTTGTTGTTCTGTGTCATTCTGGTCCTTGGTACTGCCATTGCTGCCCAGGAATGAAGCAGTAGGGGGCGTGAGAGGGTCACAGAGAGACTGGCAGGGGTTCTGGGAAGATAGTGGAGGCAGGGAGAAAGAAAAAGCACGGTGTGTGTGTGGGGAGGGCGGCGGCGTGCAGCTGGGGATGAAGCTCAGTGGTAGAGCACTTACCTAGCATGTGCAAGGCCCTGGGTTCTATCCCCATCACGGCAAAAAAGGAAAGAAAAAGGGAGAAGAGCAGAGGAAGAGAGTGGCCTCACCTCTCCTAGCCTCTATCCTTGTTGCATTCTCAGACCAATTTGTCTGTACTCCATTAAATAACTGGCTTGCTAGAGTGTCTGCTGTGCAAGTGAAAAGCCCTGAGTTCAAACCCCAGTACCACCAAACAAAGAAACAAACAAATAAATAACTGGCTTGCAATGATTTCAATTAGGAAGAGTAGGCAAGAGTTCTGAATCTTCAAGAATAAAGTGACAGCCTTAGCTGTCAGACTTCTGAAGAATTCTGTGCCCCTCACCCTCCCCAGAGAACCCTGGTACCTAACCCCAAGCTGCTAGCTTGGGGTTTTCAGCTGTCTTTGGAATCCTCCTGTCCCAGCCTGCCAGGGGTTCTGGAGGCTCTGACCTTGGGTACCTATCTCTTTAGTTCTCAGCCCTCTCAAAAAGTTAACCTATCCCCCATATCTCCAGGTCCCCGTGGAAATCCCAGTGTCCCAGCCTCCCAGTTTCTTTTTTTTTTTCTTCCTTCCTTCCTTCCTTTTTCTCTCTCTCTCTTTCTTTTTCTTCAGTACCAGGTATCAAACCAGTGCCTCACACTTAGGCAACTGCTCTAATACTTGAACCATGTTCCCTTATCCCTTTTTTTTTTTCTTTTTTCTTAGATATGGTCTTACTAACTTTGCCCAGGATTGGCCTTGATCTCAAGATCCTCTTGCCTCAGCATCCTGAGTATCTGGGATTACAGATGTGGGCCACCATGCCTGGCTGCCTCCCAGTTTCTTACAAGGATCTTCCCATTTATAATCCAGGCAACAAAGTGTCACTCATTGGGTCTGCTATCCTTCCACAGGAATCAGCCAGGACCTGAATGACCCTACTGCAAAGGGGCCCCTGGGGGTAGAAGACACAAATCCCAAGCCTGGCCTTGTACACCTTCCAATGACCCTGTACACCCTTCTGGAGTCTCCAGCTGCTTTCACCCAGGAGCAGTGTTTGTAGGAAAATCCTCAGCAGGGAGTCCAGATTCAACTCTGGTCCCTGATCAGTGTTCAGAGTCAACCTAGGCCACCTGGGTATGTTCATTCAACTGATATTTATTAAGACCTATGAGATGCCTGGCACTACTGTGGACACTGAGGATGCATTTCATATAGTAGTTAGTGCTAGAAGGGAATATAATCCTGTACTATAATACAGGGAAGAAGAGAAGGGTAATGTTAGCCTTACAGCAAGAGGTCAGGAAAGGATGCTCTGAGGTGGTATCACTTAAGCAGAGACCTGAAAAATGAAAAAATAATAATAATAAGGCATCCTGTGAGAGCCAGAGGAAGGAGGTTAAAGAGATACACCTGGGTCTCCACTAAGGGTGTTCTGAGTGGCCACTTTCTGACTTTGTGTTGCTGGACTCTCTCTGGGGCCAGTTTTTCTTTCCTCCCTCCACCCTGCCCTCTCCAGGACATTGTGCCCCCAACCTTTCTTTCTCCAGCTTGCCCTAGATTCCAGAACTCCTGATTATTGTCCAGAGCTGTCTACACTCTTTAATTAGGACTGACTTTGCTTTGACGCAGACTTTGTCAAGCTCCACCAAGGACACCTACAATGCCTGCCCAATGTCCTTCGCCTTCCCCCATACTTCCCAAAAAAAACTTTCCAGAGCTTGGCAGCACACCCTGCAGCCTCCAGGCCTTTTCTACCCCATTCACTCCACTCTCTTCACTGCCTCTCCCTCCTTTCCTTCCTCCATCCCTCACAGTCTGTCCCCTGTCCTTGCTCTTGTTCTTTCAACTAACATTTATTAGTTGCTGAGAGATGCCAAGCACTATGTTAGATAGTCCACAGGGACTCTGAAGGATGAATAAGACTTGGTGCTGGCCCTGGAGAACCGGGGTCTTGGGAGAGAGACATGTAAAAGGTTTTAATAGGGATATCTGTGAAACACTAGGGAAACTGGTTGCTCTTTTTCTACTAAGAATCATCAAAGAGGTGGGTGATTAGATGTGTGAAGTTGAACAAATGACTAAAACTCACTAACTTTTAGTTTTCCCATCTACGAAATGGGGAAGTCACTCTGTCCATAGTGTTGCTGTTCATAGAACCATGCAGATAAAATGTTTAGCACAGTGGTTGACATATGGAAAGTGCTCAGAATATTAGCCACGTTGCTCTTTTTATTACCCTCACCCATGGTTCTTTTGATGGGACTGGGGTTTAAACTCAGGGCTTTGCACTTGTAAAGTAGGTGCTGTACCACTTAAGTCACTTTGCCAGCCCTCATGCATAGTTCTTAATGTATAAGTCTGAGCCTGTTGAATATAAAGAATGAGAAAAGTCCAAGCTGTGGGCAGGCTGAGATGGAAAGAAGGCAGTTTGAGGAGTTTCCTTGAGCCATGTGGTAAAAGATCTTGGTTGTCCTGCTTAGAGTTGGGCTTCATTTGGTCAGTGCACAAACATCTGTTTCTGTCTTTTCCTTCCCTCCTCTCCCCTCCCCTTCCCTTCCTCCCCTTTCCTTCCCCATCCCCTTCCCCTTTTCTCCTCCCTTTCTTTCTGCAGTACTATTGATCAAACCCAAGTTTCATGCATGCTAAGCAGACATGCTACCTCTGAGCTATATCTCTGCCCATCTTACAAAAAAAGGTGTGGTAAAATACAGGCAACATAAATTTACCATCTTAACCATTGTCAAGTGTACAGTTCAGTGGCATCAAGTAATTCATATGTTGTGCAACCATCACCACCATCCATCTGCAGAAATCATCTTGCAAAAGCTGCATTTCCCCTTCCCCTCCATATCTACATTTCAGAGCTTTTTCCTTTTTTTTTTTTTTTTTTTTTTTTTGATCTTGTTGAGGACCCAGACAGCTAAATCCTGGACCTGCATGGACTAGTGGGAAGGGGGCCAAAGGGTAAAGACCTCATGATTGGCACAGACCATATGAGGCTGGGGGGATGGAGGAACTTCCTTCTTCCATCTCCTCCTGGAGATGCTGAGGGAGGGCTGTTGTAGGAAGAGGTTGAGATGTTTTTACTTGTTCTTCATCCTCTTTTCTTTTTTTTCCTTTTTTTGGCAGTATCTGGGTTTGAACTCCCTCACACTTGCTAGGTAGGCGCTCTACCATGTAAGCTACTCTGCCAGCCCCCCACTTTTTTTTCTTTTTTGAGCTGGGGTTTCCCTATATTGCTCAGTCTTGTCTGGTACTCCTAGAGTTAAGCAATCCTCTTGCCTCCACTTCCTGAGTAGCTGAGATTACAGATGTGCACCACTACATCCAATTTTGCTTGGGTTTTGTTTGTTTGTTTGTTTATTTTGTTTGTTTTAATTGTTGTTTTGCAGTGCTGAGGATAAAACCCTAGGGCCCTGCATGTGGAGGGAAGTGCTTTACCACTGAGTTACATCCCCAGCCTTGAGGCTGGAGGTTTATAATAGATAATGGTTCTTTGCCCCCCAGTCCACTACAGGCCTTTCTGGGATTTTCTTTTGGGGGGGTGGGAGTTGGCAATACTGGGGTTTGAAGTCAGGGTCTTGTGCTACTAGGCAGGTGCTCTACCGTTTGAGCCATGCCCCCATACCTTTTTGCCTTGTTCAATTTTCAGAGAGGGTCTCGCTTTTACCGAGGGCTGGCCTTGTACCATGATCCTCCTACTTCTGCCTCCTGTATAGATGGAATTACAGATGTGTACCACCATGACCAGCTTGTTTTTTGAGACAGGGTCTCTCTAACTTTTTTTAACCTGGGCTGACCTCGAACTGCTATCCTCCCTGAGTAGCAGGGATTAAGCCTGGCCTTCATTGTCTTGTTTTGTTTTGGCAGTGCTGGTGTTTTAATTCAGGGCCTTGCACTTGTTAGGCAGGCGCCATACTACTTGAGTAATGCCCCCAGCCCAGTTTTTGGTTTTGGTTTTGTTTGAGACAGGGTCTTACTGTAGCACAGGCTAGCCCTAAATCCACTATCATCCTGTCTCAACCTCCCCAGTGCTGGGATGACAGGCATGAACCACCATGCTTGACTAAGTATTCTTTCTTCTTTTCTTTCTTTCTTCCTTCCTTCCTTCCTTCCTTCCTTCCTTCCTTCCTTCCTTCCTTCCTTCCCTCCTTCCTTCCCTTACCTTCCTCCCTCCCTCTCCTCCTCCTTCTTCTTCTCTCTCTCTGCAGTGCTGGGGCCACAGGTCTTTCTGGATCTCCCCTTTCTCAACTTGTTTCCCTCTAAACACTGATGAGGCATTTGGTGCAGGACTCCTTCCTACCCATCCCTTCCTAACAAGAAAGGGAGTGACAGGTCTCTTACCCTTACTCATGGCAATGCACAGA